GGTATTTCACTACTCGTTAGGGCCTTTCGAAGAAACCGGAAATCGATTTATCACCTCGGGTGGTTCCCTCATCAGTACGGCCCGTGAATGCACCATTTTTGAAAGTTTGTGAAGTCTGTTTCGATTGTCACATGTGAGATACACATCTTTGCTTTCTCTCATTGAAAACGAGTTTTGTAATAGTATGTTTCGTATATAAGATGAATCCAATGAAAACAATGTAAAACTTTAGTTTTTGAGCGGACAGTTGTTCATTTTGTTTTGAAAGTACGAACCTTGTACACTTCGTGAAAGGATTTCTTCTGAAGTTGTACAATGTGCAATCTGATGTATTCGCTATTCGAAAGGCTTTTTTTGTTCAATTATGCATGTAGAAGAAGTTCTACGCATGAAACTTGTTAAAGTTGAACCTTTAACTAGTTTTAAGTTCAAATTTAAAACCTTTAACTTTATTCGACATTTTTGTGCCACTGTCTGATAGATTCACAATCAAGTAACGTACTATATCGAAAAAATTTACGTTGTTTTTCTGTATTTCTTAACTTAGGTTTAACATGACTCCGAGAACCGAAAGTTATATCGAGTTTATCAAGTTAAGTTATGAATCTCACGATTTCAGTATGAATGATATTGAAACATATATTGAAACGTTGATAACATACATGAACAAATATTCATACGACACATATTGTCATTCCTTGGTTGAAGGTTTTCTTCTTAATCTACGATATCAGATTGTGAAGCTTGGCTACATTCCTCCACATAATATTAGTATAAAAAGAAATATCTATATGTTCTTTACCGAATTAATACAATATCAATATCAATATCCTCCTGATGATTTTAAGCAAGATTGTTTAATACATGCATATAAAACTATAGCAAAAAGTTTAGTTAAAGAAGGAGGAATTATTGAATTAATTGACACTGAAGAATCAACAATGGAAATATTTAATAAACAATATATTTCTGATTTATTTCTTAAATAAAATAGTTTTTATCTGTATTTGTTGTTTTGTACGATAATTTGGGTAGATTCTAATCTTCTATCCTTCATTCCGGTTCCGAAGATACAGACGACTGCAGATTTTCTGATGTAAAGTACAATGAAAAGTATATCTTTTGCATTTCAGGTGAAATTCGGCATGAGTTTTCCTCAAACCCACTGTTACACTGCGTCCTGACACCAAAAGTCAATTCGTGGAGGAGTCATGTTACGTTGATTAGTCTATTTTTAAAAGGTGTTTAATCTCGCCGGTCGCTGTGGATATACCGAAGTTGGAATGGAACTGAAAAGCCGAACTTTGGTATATAGGAAATTAATGATCTTTAGTGTGAAACTGATGACATAAGAAAATGAAATCTTTGCTCTAAATTGGTCTAAAATTGTTCAGAAACATTTCTCGTAGCGAATATTTCTCCTAGCCACAAACACGTCCGTATTTAAATTGTGCTTATATTTATCTGTTCAAAGTGTAACGATTATGATACATTTATTAAGTGTTTTCTTCTCGAAACTAACGTTTCAATGTCTGCTTGATATCTTTATCAAAGAAACATGAGTCTCGAGAAGAAAACACTTAATAAATAAATGTATAATCGTTACGTTCTGTTAATAGAGGAACTAGGGATGTTCGGTTCTCGCTAAGAACCGGAACCGCGGTTCTCTTGTTTTCGGTTCTTCAGCTGGAACCGGAACCGCGGTTCTCTTGTTTTCGGTTCTTCAGCCGGAACCGGAACCGCGATTCTCTTATTTTCGGTTCTTCATCGGGAACCGGAACCGCGGTTCTATAGACGGTTCTTTTTATTTGGAACCGAAACTTTTTTAATCACAGATACTATAGTTTTTAAAGCTA